AGTTGGAGTCTCACTCTGTCGCCCAGACTGGAGTGCAGTGGCCGCTCCCGGCCACCGCAGCCTCGACCTGCTGGGCTCTGGAGATCCTTCCGCCTCCGGAGATCCTTCCGCCTCAGCCTTCCAAGTAGCTGGAACTACAGGTGCATGCTACCACACCCAGCTAATTTTTTTTATTTATTGTAGAGATGAGGTCTTGCCAAGTTGCCCAGGCAGGTCTCGAACCCGCGGGCTCAGGCATTCCACTCACCTCAGCCTCCCAAAGGCGCAGGATTATAAGCTAAGCCACCGAGCCCAGTTAAATTTTATATTTTAACTTATTTATTGCTTGACTCCCTTGCTGACTCCTCCATTAGAATTCCCCTATTAGAAGATCTATTATTAATTAAAAATTCCTGGCCCCTCATTGGTGGGAGCAGGAATTTTTGCCTATTTTGTTCCCCCAGAACCTAGCACAGAGTAAATTATTTGCTGAATGAATGAAGTGAACAAGCCAGGTGTTCTGGACTATTTTATATTTACAACTTGATCCCGCATTCTCCATTGATACCACAGAAAATTCAAAGGTCTCTCACTCATTCCTGACTCTAAACTGTCTCGAGGTCAATTCTAGAATCTTAAAATGTTATCACCCATTCAAGCAGTCAAGCCTCTCCCCTCCTGTTTAAATCTGGCTCAAGGTCCTATCAAATTGATCTTAATACTGCTCATATCTGTCCCATCACTCCATCACTACTGCTGCTATTTTGGTTCAGTTCACCATCACCCCTACCTGGGACTTACTCAAATAGTTCTTTAATCTCCAGTCTCATACTTTTCCAACCCACATTCCTTTGACCTGAAAGAGTGAGCATTCTAAAATTGCAAATCAGGCCAGGCGCAATGGCTCATGCCTGTAATCCCAGCACTTTGGGAAGCAGAGGTGAAAGGATTGCCTGAGTCCAGGGTTTCAAGACCAGCCTAGGCAACATGATGAGACCTCGTCTCTACAATAAATTAAAAAATTAGCCAGGTGTGGTGGTGCACACCTGTGGTTCCAGCTACTTGAAAGGCAGAGGCAGAAGGATCACCTGAGCCCAGCAGGTCGAGGCTGCAGTAGCCATGAGTGTGCCACTGCACTCCAGCCTGGTCGACAGAGTGAGACTCTGACTCAAGAAAAAAAATTGGAAATCAGATCACCTAAACCTCCTGTTTAAAGTCCAATGGCTCCCATCACCTATAGAATCAAATCCAAATTCCTTCTCATGCTACCCATCAGCAATTCTTGGGTAATTGTAACTACTTACGATTGCCTAATCCCACCAAGAAATACAATTCCAAGCCTTTGCCCCTGCTATCCACTCTGCACCCAATGTTGTTTTGTCCACCAGGAGAGCCACCATGTGATCTCAGGACCCACCTCCCTAAAACATTGCCTGACTCTCGGGTATAACTCTACAACAACATTTTTAACTGTGAGCTCACTGAGGTCAGAAACTATCACGGATGCATCTTTGAGGCATTATAGGGTGAGGGAATGAATGTGCAGAAATAATGAAATCACCTTTCACAAAGCCTAAGCAGATAAATTAGACAACAGCAGTTTCCTCTCATGCTGCCAGGCTAATGCTAGAATTCTCTGCTTATTCTACTGATGTTCATATCTACGGAGTTCTCTACTGGGTACTTTTTAATCCTGTTTTCAGAAAAGAGGATAACAGATAAAGGCTAATACCCAATATTGCACAGAGAAAAAAATACACCACCAGCCCAAACACAGAAGGCTAAAATAAACCTTAAGTATATAAGCTTAACTATGTGTGTGAAAGGGTCTTCAAAAAAAATGCTATCATCTCAACTGAGCAGCTCTGTACATCAGAAAAGTTTCAAAAAGAGTCAGGAAGTTATGTAGACATACTCTTCTGGAGTCCTATCCACAAAGGTTTTCAAAATGAGCTAAAGGAAGCAAAAATCATGTCTTAAGGAAACAGCTAAAGAGAGAATACCATTTTTTACAAAATCAACAGCTTAGCTAAGCCTTCTAGCTTCCCTACTTCGCATACAGTACTAAAACTTTTTCTTCATACATATACAATGTACATAAATCTAAAGAAAAAGTTAATTTACCAAATTTACACTACTTGAGGCTTAAAAAAATCAACAAATCCACTCCAGCATATTATGTTTTGGTGTCTTTGAGAGCCATGATCTATAAACTGAAAATAAAATCACCAATAAATTAACCAAAGTGAGTACTGCCAAAGATTCAATGATTTGGCAATTTCCAAACATACTTAATACTTACTTTTATTTCTGAAATTCAAGTACAAAGTACAGCTAACCACAACTGCTAACACTGTCCTTTTAATTTAATGTAGTGCAGTATAGCTCCACCATCCCACAGTCCCTAAGGAAACAGCTCACAACGCCTGGGTCCTAAAAAGACCAACATGTTAAGTAGGGGTTACATCCATATCCCACTCTGCTGACACCTTCAGGCCCAACAGCAGGTGCCACCCCTCTAAATGGAAAGACACTTGTCATGGCAAATCTTTCAAGTGAGCTGCAAAGCATAGTTTCTGACCTCATCAACATAGCCTTTAAAGCCCTCTACGTCAAGGGAATTCTCAGGTGAAAGTGTTTTTCTCTTACATTCATAAATTCTTCAACAACAAAATTAATATAATAAAGAAAAATCAGAAGAAAGAGAAAGCACCCTTGGCAGATAACAAATAAATAAATGATGTGAGAGCTCCAATTACAAGCCAGAGAAAGAAAATGCCAATTGAGCACATAAGATTCTTTCAAAGCCAACAACCTATGCAAGCCCTAGCTCAACCACTTGCCATCTCTGAGTTAAACAATTACTTCTCCTTCTGAGGATTCCCTTTCCTGGGACTTTTAACTGTGTAATTATGCAGTGTGTGGGTACCACAAAATACAACGCAGCTTTATAAATGTAAGCTTTTAAAAATCAATGTTCTTGTCTCTACATATTTCCAAAATTAGACGTTCCCCTCAATCCAGAAGATTTTTGTAAAACATAAGGACTGTTTAAAAGAGGAGGGAGGAAGAAACGTGGTAGATTACTTAGACTTATTTTTGGTTGTATTTTATACATCACTTCCCAGACCTCAAAGATTTTATCCCATATAAAATTTTCAAAAAGAAGCAGTAGCAGCAGCCCAGTAAAAACACTGAGAATAGCCGTAAGAAGCTCCGGGTACATGTCTCACTTTCAAATCAATTGGTAGTTTGAGAAGTTCAGCACTTTAAAATGCTGGGGTGTATGGTAAGACAAATACCATGATAATAAAGCACCCTTAAACAAATGGAAGTTGAAGTTGAAAATGCAAACATTTCTTAAAATGAGACCAAGGCAGTAGACAGAAGGCAGTGTGCACTCAGAGGTATATAATTTTGTCTGATTTTCAAGTCCTGCAGAACAGATCTGACTTCCTATCCCTATTTTGATGATAAGCAAAGTGAGGACTAGAGAGGAAAAAGGTTTTAGTCTTCACATTTTTGTAAAAAGGCATAGAGAAACATCTAGATAGGACTTAAGAGTGACCAAATGAACTGCAAAGGCAATTTTTTTTAAGGGCTGAAAAGTTCTGACTTCTGTAGGGCTCCATACCTGTACATTCATGGGACATGCCCCTCAGAATGTCGGCCTACTGGTGGTGTATGCATTTTCAAAATTCTACTTCCTTCTAAAGGTCTCGTGTAGGTCAGCTCTGCCATAGTGCCCCTTTCTGCAGTGTGAATAGATCTGTGATATTTGACTCACTGGAGAAAAAGTCACACTGATCCTAAGACAACTGAGCTGCCTCCAGATACTGACGCTGGAAGATTTTTTTAAAAGTCGTATTTAATAAAAGCAGATCAGGGAGGAAGATGATGAGGCAGAGAAATGCACATACCTTTCAACTGGTCAGCAACCACACTCTGGCCGAGCCGTTCAATAACTTTCCCATCTTCCATTTCGTACCGGTCATCTAAGTATTTTGCAGTGGCCTCGGAAATGTGAACTTTGCCAGCTACTCCCAGCTGCTCCATGAGATTGGCCAGGTTCACATCATTAGACCACACATCAAATTTAAACCTCCTCATGCCCAGGATGCCACACAAGACAGTCCCTGTGTGAACCCCAACACGCATGTTCACCATTTCCTTCTTCTCCTGACAGAACTGCTCGATGGCCTTGATCATGCCTAAGCCCATCTCAATGCAGCAGTAGGCATGGTCTGCCCGGGGCTCAGGACACCCTGCCACACAATAGTAGCAGTCTCCCAGAGTGCTGATTTTCTCACATCTGGTCTCCTCACACAAGCGGTCGAAGCGACCAAACAGATCGTTCAGGAGACCCACCAGGGCGTGGGCTGACTTATTGGCACTCATTTTGGTGAAGCCCACAATATCTGCAAATAAAATACTGACTTCTTCGATCTGCTGCATCTTAAAAGGGCGGAATGCTATAGGAGCTTTCTGTATGGAAGACTTTTTCTTCCTGTTCTTGGGACTCGAGGTGGCATGCCTCTTAACAGAATTCTCACTTTCCTCATCCCCCTGTTTCATTAAGTCATCAGCTATAATTCTCGGCATCACAGAATGAATCATCCTCTCCTTGAGAGCTTTTTCGACTTCCAGATCTTTTCCATGCATAATCGATTGTCCCACTTTGAGGAAGGTGCTCCTGGACCTCACCTGAGACATGATGAATAGGTGGATCCCGATGGCGTGAATACAGCCATGGAGCAGGGCCCTGCTCGGTAGCTCCCAGTGCAGGGCTCCCGCTCCGGGAGAGGGAAAGCAGGCTCCGCCTCGGAAATGATAGCCCAAGGCCTCAAAAAGAACAGAATAGGCCACCCCCAAACACAAGCTCAAGTACAAAGGTAAGTGCATGACGGTGTAGAGCAAAAAGAGCACTTCAATGCACATGGAAAAGCTCCCCACTTGAGATAAGCAAGTGTCTGTGGGCTTGGCTGCAGCAGTATGATTGGAGCTGTCAATACGTCCTGAGAGAGGCGTCAAAACCTGAAACTGTGCAGCCAGGGTCAAGGCGAACACCAGCAGGGTGAGAACCAGCGAGGTCCACGCATAATGCCGGGCGTACAGCTTGGTGAAGGTAAACAGAAAAAAGCCCACACATACCACGAGGAAGCACAGAGCAGGGGCTACCATGACAATCATTTTGGATCTCATGTGAACAGTAAAATAGATGCTCCAGAGAAGGCAGGCGAAGCCGATGTAGAAGAGTGCATACCGGAACCGGCGCTGGGTCTGCGGAAAGCAGCGCTCCAGGCAGGCCTCCTCCAGGTTCACCGAGTCGAACTTAGGGTCCCACCACCGGCTGGAGGCCCTCTCGAACAGCTGGGGCAGCTTCTTCTGCCTGCGCAGGCGGCCTCCACCGCCCACTCTCCGGGGGAGCCCTGCGGAGTCCCCGGAGCTGCTACAGCTGGAGGAGATGCTGTACTTGCAGTGTTTGGGGTGGCTGTTGGAGGACAGCTGCTTGGGGTTGATCTTGACCCGCACGCTGTTGCTGTCTCCGCTGGAGTCACAACTCACCTCGGTGCTGTGGTGATGCAGCAGCTGCTGGTGGGGCGGGGAAGCCATGTTGTCGAGCTCCCGGGGCCTTCCCTGGCCGGGGTCACCAGTACCTGTCGGCAAGACAGAAGAGAGTTATTCGGCGCTTCTACATATCCACGCACACCTGAAGGGCAGGAGCCCTCTTCCCTTCCTAAGCGGTGACCCCCGCACGCGACTTGGAAGGGCACCATATGCTCGCAAAAACTGTCGATCGCGGCTAATCAATGTCCCCACCATCCCACCTTCGAGGGGACAAAAACCATCTGGGACGGACCTGGAGCGCCCCGGGGTCCCAGAAGCGTGGCCGCCTTCGGTCCGGGGGACGCGGCCCGCTCTCCCCTTCCGCGCCGCTCGCCCGTGGGCGCCTCTACACGGCGCGGCTTTTCCTCTGCACGCTCGCCTTCTCCGGCTGCGGCTCTGGAGGGAAGTTCAGACCCCGAGCGCTCCCAGCACCGTGAGCCGCCGGCGCAAAAACAAC